TTTATTTTAAACCAAAAGATTTTAGAATTATTTAATGACAAAAATTTAGTGTTGAGAAAAATATCGAAATAAATTTTAATATTGCAATTTCCGAAATAATTTTTAGAAAACAAAAATTAAATATGAAATGAGAAACAAATAAAAAAAATAGAACTTGAAAGTTAAATAATTTAAAATAAACAAATTTTAAACAATTGAATTCTAAAATAATACAACAAATTTATAAAGCGATAAAACAGAAATATTTCTACAAATAAATAATTAAATTCAAGGAAAAGTAAGAAATGTTAGATTCGAGTACATATTTATTCATATGATTTTAATAAATAAATTAATGTAGACAGTACAAATGTATGTCTTTGTCTATGCGTAAATGCGCTTACGTATACACAAACACATAGATGAATAATAGAACATAACTCATGCAACATTTTTAGACAAATTTAAGAGAGAGAGGGTAAGGGCCCGAGAAAATAGACAAATAATTGGACATTTGTTTCCCCCAATGAGTGGAAATTAGTTACGCCCTAAAATTCGACACCTCGCAATTGTCACCAAAAAATCTCTCTCGTTGTCCTGACGTCCTAGTGTTAACATCGTACATAGTTTAAATAAGTCTCAATAGACCACGTGTAAATCTATTGTATAAAAAGTAAAACATTTGTAAAGGTAAAGTAAAATCGTAAAGTGAAACCAACTAAAATAAATTAAATCAACAAGGTTCATCAATTTTTTATCAGGTATATTTTAAATTATTAATATTTGTAAATTATTAATATTTGTGAATTTGGTAATATTGTAAAATCGTTATATAAACGAAAAGTTAACTTCAATCACTGTGTAATAACTGTAACTATTGTAAATTAACTAATGATATTAATTTTGGATTTAAACAAATATATGTATTAAAATTATTCAACCACATCAATTTATTCAAACAAACCTATCATTCTCAATAAACTAAAACTCGGAAGTTCCCGGTCTATATTAGCCTAACACGCTAGGACCAAATACTTAAACACATTAAATATTTTAAATATAAAATTAATTAATTACCCTAAATTAAATATTTTTTACATAACAATAAATTAAATCCTTTATGGAATTTTTGATTAATATATATATATATAACTTTTTCTTCAACTTATTTACCATATTGCGTTCGAGAATAACAATAGCCGCAATGAAAAACAATAATCTTAACAATAATCAGAATATAATTTGCGTTCAAAAATAATACTTGCAAAAATAATTAATGATGACGTAATATTTTAATTAAGCGATTACTGGCCAATTCAGGGACCCACACGCGGCTTTCGGGACAGGTATATATATTCTATCGTGATACCCCTTACTCGCTACGTTCTTGAAAATCATTCGGTACGCTTGTGAGATATTTAATTTAAAAAGTAAGATTTAAAATCTCCTGGCCTACAAGATTATTCAGTTTGAAAATATTTTCCTGAACCCCTAAACCAAGAAAGTGCAAAAAAATTATGAATCTTTTTTTTCGTGCTATTACTTTGAATTGCGTGAGAAACTGAGTCTGAAAAATTTTTGACCGGGAGATCCAAAAACTAGAATTTTTTCAAGAGAACTCTTTTTTTTTATCTTGATATTATTTTTATTCTAGCGAAACCTGTTAAAAATTACTGCAAAGTTTTAAAATTTTTTTTGCCAGCTCAATTTTTGTTAGAAGTATATTGCTTCAACTAATAATGTCTATTTTTTGGGAGATTTGTTCCTCTCTCTGGGTTCTTTTGTAGACTTATCGACTAAGAAAATGTTATTTTTTTAACGATATTTCATTTTCGGATGTATGAATTTTTTTTTTTTCACTTTTTCAGAGGGTATCCCATTTTGCCCGCAAAAAAAAAAAATTTTTTTCTACGGCAACTTAAAATTTGATCATTTTTCTTCAATTACGACTGAAAATGAGAAAAATCAGCGTATTTAAGTCTTTAAAATCATAAGGATTTCTTAAGTACCCCATTTTGCCCCTCCCTCCCCTATATTTTGAATTATTAATATTTGTGAATTTGGTAATATTGTAAAATCGTTATATGAAAGAAAAGTTAACTTCAATCACTGTGTAATAATTGTAACTATTGTAAATTAACTAATGATATTAATTTTGGATTTAAACAATATATGTATTAAAATTATTCAACTACATCAATTTATTCAAACAAACCTATCATTCTCAGTAAACTGAAACTCGGAAGTTCCCGGTCTATTAGCCTAACACGCTAGGACCAAATACTTAAACACATTAAATATTTTAAGTGTAAAATTAATTAATTACCCTAAATTAATATTTTTTACATAACATTTTTTTGAATCAAATTAATTTTTTTTCAGTGTATATAATCGAATTATTAAAAATTAATTCTAAACAAAATATCAATTTATTATTTATTTCATGTAATATTTATTAAGGAATTAATTTTTTGAAATATTTGTAACTTTAAATATTTGTATTTAAGAAACTTATCATGATAAATATGTTATTAGTTTGACTATGCGATAAATAGAAGCACTAAGAAAAAATTTTTCTTGGAAATGCGTGATAATAAAGTAACATGTGTGTACAATCTTGAAAAAAAAAATAAACATGTACATAATCACTTTACACAAACCCAAAATGTCTTGATAAATTTTCAATTTAAGCTGCTGAACAAACAACCTCTCTATTTATCGTGTCAAAGTATACGTAGAAATCGAGTTTTTAGTTGGAAAAAAAGATTTCATTTAAAAAAAAAAAAATATTTAAAAGCTTGAATGTCCGGTTACGCTCAATAATTTTGGTCATTTATATAGCTTCGTAATTCTGAAAATGACACCCGATTGTTACACATGTTCTAAAAAAGCGGAACAGTTTTTTTACAGAGGTAAAAAGCGTGTGAAAAAAAAAAACGGGAAAGCCAATAAGCAGTAGCTTGTGATCTGGATGGTTTTTTATTTGCTGGTGGTTCGGCATTTGTAAGACGAGTCAAAGTAATAATAGTAATAATAGACGCACATTTAACATCGGTAGCCAAAGCGTGTCATCACTTCTGTGTGTACCGATGATCATTTTACAGCCACTGTATAAACGAGTCACTTTGAAAAGTTGCGTCGTTTTTGGTTTGGCTTTAAGATTGCACATCAAGGCCCACTGTTGGTCTCGTGGTATTGTAAGACCACTCTTGTCCTTTGTTAGAGCAAACGGGCCTACTACTGTTCCGTTAATTTATGACATTTCGGGCATTGCTTTCCACACCTACACTGCTATACACCACCCTGCTGTAACTAGAAAAACCAAAAGACACTTGTGTCCGGTTTTAAGGACATTTGACTTTGATTTACTAGCGGATTTCCGAGTTCGGTGCTCTTGATGCTTTAAAAAAATAAAACGTCTATTTTATTTTATTATTTTTATTTCCCTAGTTTGGAAGTAAGAAACATTACTAATTTCTCTGATTCTCGTTATTGATTTTTAATTTTTTCAACATTTCCTCTTTTATTTTGAAATTTCCATTTAATTATGTACCTTTCATTAAAATTTAATTATTCTTTATAATTACTTTTATTTTCCCATCATGACAGGGAATTTATACAAAAACCTAAAAATTGTTAAATTTTTTTGGGGTTTCCATTATCCTTTAAGTTATTTCTTTTTAGAAGTTCTGTAAATGCAAAACGATTAACCTTATTGCATTTAAATTTTAACTGAAATTTTTTTTACGCGTACTATGCGCTGTAAAATTAAAAAAATTTTTCCACTGTTTTACAAAATATTTTTTCTTTTAATAAATTTTTCGGTTATATGCATTTTTCTCGTTAGAACATCTCAAAAGAAAAAAAAATGAAAAATGAGAGCAATTATTTTCCGTCGGTTTCCGGGACAAATTAAAATCCTGTAATATTTCTTGAGTGTTGAGGTCCAAGAAAAAACAATTTTTCAAAGAAACATTTAAAATTCTCTGATATTATTAATATCAATACAGTAAAAAATAAAAATTTTATAAAATTTCTACTAAACATATATTCTATATAATGTTTGAAATTTTGAGATAACTTTATAAAAAAATTTTGAATCACACTTAATAAATTTTTGAAAATTTCTAAAAACCTTTCAGCATGTTTTCATAAAAGTAATCTTTTAATAAGAGTGAGTCTAATGTGTTTGGCAAAATAAAATTTTATATGCCTTTTAAAATTAGAGATGCAATGAGATGCAAGAGCTCCAACAAAATCAATTTTGCGCATTTAGGAGAGAGGGAAACGCCTAAAACTTTACAATAGAATCTGACTACGAAGCTTCAAGGGTAGGAAAATACTTTTTCCGATAGGTCTATAGCGCATTCCGATAGGTCTATTGTGACCAACGCACACAAATAGATACATGTATTGTGAGTGTAAGAGTAAGATAGATCCATACAGCAGAACTAAAAAGCATCTTCCCGCTCCTACACCATCAAACCTTTAAATTCTATCTCTTTCTGTCATCCTTAAACCCGTAGGATTGGGGTTGATTTATGTGCTAGTGGTGGGGAGAACGCATGCGCATCGGGTTGTCCCCTCTGGTTCATTGGATCCAAACAGGCCTACCCCCTCCTCAAGCGACCAAGAACTGGTCGTCATAGTTATAGTCCTCCCTCTACATTCGTCCACATAGTTATTAAATCGGACGGAACGCAGTCAAGTAGTAATTATCTGCAAGCGCCTGTGGCCGCTACTCGTCCCAACAACTCGGGAAAAATTTTTTTTTTATTTACACTTTTTCGTTATTATTGCTAACAACGAAAAAGAAAGTTTATCGTGCCACGTGTGTTCTCAAAACGTCCTTCGGCTTCCGTTGAAACGTCCTTGCGTTTAACTCTCAACGGGTCCAAGTTTAACAAGTGTTATTGTACATATATATTTATTTATATACATATATCCTTATATTTAGTGGGTGTGTGGTAACAATAATTTGATTACCAACAAACACGAAGAATCATCAAGTGAATAATCAGATGTCAGGCGTTTTATCAAGCAAAAAAAGGACTACTTACAACAATCAAGAGGAAAAGTGTGAAGTGATGCCACCGAGCATGTATTATCCACAGGTACGATATAATCTATAGAATACAACAACAGTATACAATAATTTTACGGCAAATTATCACGGTGCTCGTGTGTGATTATAGTAATTTGACGGCGTAATATTACATTCGAAGCGTGAGGTTCTTGTGATAGTTATATGGAGTTGATAATACTTCAAGTATCTTCTTATAACGTGTTATATTTTTTTTCATCGCTTCAATAACCATTTTTTTTACGATCATTTCAAAAATTACTTTTTTTTTCTTATTCATTTAATATATATTGGGAGTATATTTTTACTCATTTTTTTTTTTACCAATTTTCTAACAATTCAAAACGAATTCATTAAATCGTAAATTGTAAAAAAAATTTAATTTAAAGAAAAAAAGAACAAAATTATTTAATAAAAAAAATTGATAAATTTTTTTTTTTTTTCATTAAAAACTTTTGATAATTTGTCGGTCGAAAAAATTTAAAATAAAGTAAAATAATATATTAATAAATAAATCTTAATTATATTTACAGAACATGTCAATGATGACACCAATGACAGCTGGTATGTCAAATCCAATGTCAAGTTTCCACTCCTACCCCTCAACTAGCTACGACACACATCATTACCAGCATGAGCCAATTCATGCAGCCTATCAATCACCCAATCTCTGGAGTCCAGAGTATTATTCCGGATACAGCACATTTTCGGAGCCTACACCGTCGACGTCGTACAATCTTCCATCCACTCTTGGTCCATCAACGTCAACAGCAGCGACACTTTGGCCGACGCATCAACCTGACTACTCAGCAGTACAACCGCAATTGACAGCAATGCAACCGATGCCCGCTTTCCGACAGTCTCCAACTTTATCAGAGTTGTCTCAAAATTCGTATGAGCAACTGAGTCCTAAGTACTGGTCCAGCGAAGAAGAGTCGAAGCGCAAGAAAAAGTTGACCAGATGCCAGTGTCCCAGTTGCATCCCCGATGGCAATTGCAAACTCGACAGCGATGGCAAGAAATTGCACACTTGTCACTACATAGGTTGTCAGAAAAAATACGGAAAGACTTCGCATCTGAAAGCTCACCTCCGCTGGCACACTGGAGAGCGCCCGTTCAAGTGCGATTGGTATGGATGTGGAAAAAGCTTCACCCGGAGCGATGAGCTTCAGCGACACTTTAGGACTCACACAGGGGATAAACGTTTTTTTTGTCAACAGTGCCCCAAACGCTTTATGCGCAGTGATCACTTGAAGAAACACATTAAAACCCACGAGAATCAAAAGAAAAAAGCCAAGAAACAGAACAAGGAAAACAAGTCTTCTATCGTAACTCAAGAGGTTAGTCAGGAGCAGCCGATCATGGGAGCTGCTGCTACTGCTGCTGCTGTAACAAATATTCCTGCTCAATATTACTATCAATAAATAAAATTGGACTGACTATAGAGGGGTAATGTACCTCATCATTATTGACTGATAAGAGGTACTGTGATAATTTGCCTTGGGTGTATATAATTTCATATTAAAAATTATTTTTCACTAATTTTTGATATTTTAGATATTGTATAAATAAATTGTAAATATTATATATTATATCGTACCTAATTATATAATTAAACAGTATATAAAGTAATTATTTTAAATAACTCCATTAAGACTTTGTTAATTAAAAAAGAAAATTACTTTAGAGATAAATAAAAAAATTATAAAATTATATTTATTTTGCGTACAATAATTTATTAAATTTTTTTTTCTTAAATATAAGTTTTTCTTTAGATTTTTTCATGTGCTGAATTGAAAAAAAAAAATATACATCTTTGGGAATTTTTTTCTCATTTATAAATCTAACGAATCATCCCCTTGTATGTATAATATATCAGATTCATTTTGAAATATTCCTGTCACCCGATACATCCTCTTTTTTTACATGTATACGTCTACCTTTAGGAGTATAAATGTGTGAGTATAGAGATAGTCGTATGTAAGTGTCCGCGGGGTTACAATAAAATAACTCAAGGGATAGTTCAAAAAGCAGTTCATGGGATAGATGCTGGTATTTTTTACCTGCAGGTGCCACGATTCCAACAAATCAGGAACATCATTTTTCTTTCATCTCTCGCTACCGGAGGAGTATATAATAATAGCCATCTTAATCTATTACATCAAAATTTAATCATTCCACTTTGAAAGCTTTCAAAATATAAAATATTAAAAATCGCCTAGGTAATAACTGAAGAAAAAAAACTTTTTTAAAATTCTTTTATCTTATAAGCTTTTTAAAAGTATTTTCTCGGTGCTTTAAACGATTTGTCACGGTGTTCAGGTCGAGGATTACGGGAAAGGTAAGGTAAAAAGAAAATCAACAGATTGAATAAAATTCGGGGGTTCCCAACCGATGTCTGTACGATACTGGATACTGGGCAAGTTGTGAAGAGTAGTAGGCGAGTAATTCAACAGATGGCACCAGGGTGAATGGAAAAAGCCACGAGGGTGCTATTAAATGGGCGTTGCGCGTGGCCGAAGCTCCGGCAAAGATTCATGGCTGGCGCGTTTGCAGAGCAGAGACCCGCAAGAGAGACCAGCAGAGTGGGCACACTGTAAAATGAATAAAATAAAGCAAAAAAGCATCGGACCGCGGAGTAAATTACAGGGAAAAATCCGGTAGACGAAGAGGCAAGCGGGAGAGTCCACCTGAGAGAGACCAGCACCACTACCTTGCGTTGCTGCGTGTACCAATAGATAGAGAAGTACATACAGTGATAGTTGTATTATGTTAGTACGTACATTCTGCATCGTATGTATATGTCTATATATAGAGTCGAGAAGAGTTGAGAGAGGATAAAGGTAAAGGACAAAGAAAACGGCTTGCAGAGTCATGACAGAGTCGGTGTGCTGAAAGAGGGGCAAACAGAGGATGAGGAGGACGTACACACGAGTGAGGACGCGGTAAAAGAGGTGAATCACAAGCAGGAGGAAAAAGAAGAGGAGGAGGTGGCGCCACGGTAATTCCAGAGTCGCATTCAACCAAGTACGCGGAACGCAAAGTTAGTGTGCAAGAGATTCAAAGAGAGCGCTGGCCACTCGGTTACTCCTGACGTGAGTTTGCAATTCCGTGCGAAAGATTGCGGTGACAAAAACGAAATTATTATTTTCAACACTATACACATGTTTTTTTTTTTTTTTTTTTTTTTTTTTTTTTTTAATTCAAATATCTTGGTCCTCTTTATTTGGAGAACGGTTGTCGCTTTTGCAGACGGCTTTGAGAGTTAATTCGCGAATTGCGTTCGCGGTTGAGTTTCAAGAAAATCTGATCGCACCTGCGTCGGTCGCGGGCTCTGCTCGAGCTCCAAGTATACCGGGCTCGGCTTAAAGAACTCCACTCTGCTCGTATACCGCTGTTAGCTGTTATGCTGCGCGCGATAGATTGCAACGTGCAATAAAAAAGCGTAAAAAGGAAGGAGAAAATAATCGGCGATTGCTCGTATGCGATGTGCTTGAGAGAGGAGCGAGGAGCACCTGGAGGAACTTTTAAACCTTCTGATACATAAGAGTGGGAGAGAGCAAGACCGTCCTCTCTCCTGGGCGCTCTCATCGCGCTCGTCGTCGATAAGTCTCTTTATATATCGAGTTCCACGTGCTCAGAGTCGCCTATTAATATCATATCAGTGTTATTTTATATCTATGTATAATATACTTGTTTATTTATATATTTATTCACTCAATAGTCAGTAGCTTATATAATAAATATAATAATACCCGGCACTTGCTATTATTGTTATTACATATTCAATAATATTGTGTTATTACATTATTTAACGAGTCATTAATGTGTCGATATTATTTATAACTATTTATCAAGTATGTTTTACGATAAGTGTGATAATTTTTATCTGAATTTACAATAATATTTGTGGTTATATATTTATATTATTCGTGAAAAATTATTAGTCATTATTTAACTAATTGAATTACAATTATTTTTGATTACGTTGTTTAGCTTACTGTGGTAATAATAAAAAAAAAGTAATTTACTTTATTACAAAGTTGTTATTTTAAATAAATAAAAACGTATCCCGTCAAACTGGAGGCGGAAATTGGGGGCGGTGGAGGCCGCCGGAGTGTCAGTCCACCCTTAATCAGCATAAACGTGAGTTAACATAAATGTTAATTGATCAAATATATATTCATATATTTATTTTTAATTTGATATTTTGATGATTAAATTTATCTGTATACATACTAATAAATACATTGTTAGTTAATAATCGTAAATAACAACAATAATAGTATTTTTAACAGTCGATAGTAATTCATAGTCTGTTTATTAGAAAACGTATATAATACTGCGGAGAATGATTTCTTGGTTTCTCTTAACAATCTTCGCCGACGCGATCGTAAATTTACGCGGTTCTTCTGTGGATAACTTCTTACAGGTCTTCACTTGTGTTTACGTCTTATACATACACAATACATACATATGGTGTGTATTAGTTTGTTTGTGCAGTGTCGAGTCCTCGGTTAGGTGAAGCACAAGAGGGAAGACGAAATATTCTTACGAGTAGATCCATTCGAGCAAGAGCGACCTTTTGCGGTGTTTTAACCCTCTGAACTGTTTCTTCTTATATGTATGGATGGATGTATGGATGAGATTTAAAAGTTTGTTCAAAGGTTCAGTCAAGAGTCGTATACATATAGCGCCTCTGCTAAAAGTCACACGCCGCCAATATAATAAACGTTACTATGTTAGAATGGTTATACGCCCCCTATACATCAAACATCCTTCACGGGTTTACCTGCTCGCGGACAGCGCCCCTTTCGCCTACTCTTATGTTTCTTTGCTCGGAATCAATGTTAATACAAATTGCAGATTAAACTATAAAACTAAAAACTTAAACCGTATATCTCGAGAAGATCTACACACTTAATTTGTCGTGTGACAAATTGGCTTACTCGTCGTGTTAAAAAAATTTTTTTATAAATAATGAATTTGTTTAACTGTTTTTAATGTTCAGTGATGGGTTGAGAGGCGTTGATTAATTTATAAGCTTATGCTTTTGGATGCGAGCAGAGTGCCGAAGATCGAGAGCGTTCGAGTTTATATTTATTCGCCAGTCGGGTTCGGTTAGTCAGATGGGAAGGATTCAAAAAAGAAGTAAATAATAAATAAAAATCAAACTAAATAATATATTTTAAAAGAAAGATGCCAGGGTATTAGAAAGAACAGCCAACACGAGGTTAAGGTTTGACACACCCCCTCACAAATCTAATTAATTTATATCTAAGTGAGGCGCCACGAGAGCCAAAGTTCAAAGTTTAAAAATAAAAAACAATACAGTTGATTGGCTTTTTAGACCGAATTTTTTTTTTTTTTAAATGTGTTATATAATTTACTTAGTATTGTAATTTACTGAAAAAAGTATATTATTGTACTTTTTTTTTTCTCTGGAACGAATAAACGAAACGAAAGTCTCGATCATTGCCGTCGGAAGATGGATTTCAAGAGTTTTGTAAAGTTTACAATTGAAAAAAATTTTACGACAAGATGAAGACTATAAAAGAAATGTAATAAAATATTAAAAATGATATTTAAGAAACTTGACACAATTACCTCATCCTTTTAGGTCTCAACATCAAAAGCGTCGAATTACATGGGTTTTTTAGGGTTTCTATTGAAGAAGAAGACGTATCTGAATATGAAAAAAAATTGTATCTTCAATCAAATCTAAATTTTTTTAAAACATCCATTCGATATACTTTTCTTCCAGTTTTTTCAGAGAAAAAAAATTTATCCAATAATTGACTAGATTTTTTTCGGAAAAAATAAAGCTTGTACATAAAATTTATTCAAGTAATAGTACACCTGTAAACAAAAAAGGAAGCTTCTGATATTTGTATACATTATCAAAGAACGACAACGATATCGCTATCGCCGAAGACGTCAACCCCCTGAGGCAGAAACTACCGGTCAGGAATCAGGGCACGCACCAGATGGAACCAATTCGCCGTATTGCCGGCAAGTCTACGGCAAACGTTCGAGGGGACGTTACAGCTGTTGCCGAATTATGCAACGCCGCTAAAATTGAGACATCATATTTTGAATACACATTTATATTTATAAAAAAATAGCTTAAAAGATTCATCAGAGATCATCAATAGCCAACCTGTTGCATTGAGTCATTATTATTTATAACTTTTGGTTAAACCACTATCCAAGCGATAAATTAAATTCAAAAAAAAATTTTAACATTTATTATTTTCTACTGAAAATCGACTAACCATACATATACACGAATCGAAAAATTAATTTGTTTAACAAATAATTTACACCGATTACCGGTCATTTAAATTCCAATTTTAAGTCCACAATTAGTATAGCTAGCATCACGGTATATGCTATAATATATTTAAATTTTCTGGCTCATTATGATAATTGTCGGTGTGATAAAGTGGAATCATTATCAGGGTCGCGGTGT